AAATGTCTGAATCCCAAATGTCAAGTCTGGATCCAGTGTCGTCAAGTCCCAAGTCACAACTCTCTCTCTCTGTAGTAGTCCGCTGATACTGAGAAGTCAAGTGGTGAGAGGGGAAGAAGAGATGGTGGACATAGAAGAGGAAGAAGAAGAACTCTCTCTCTCTCTCTCTCTGTGTGTCCAGTACTAACCTGTGAAGATGGCGCCTTGATGCAGGTACCTCGAAGATGGAGCTGGAGCTATGGCGCCACAGGTAAGTCTCGCTGGCCTCCGCCAGCCATCTCTCTCCCACACTACCATTACCACCTACTAGCCCCCAGCGCTGAAGACTACTGCTATGGCTACTAGCGCCCAGCGCTGAAGACTACTGCTAGCACTAAGCTACTCCTGGCAGCGCTCCTCCTGAGTGCTGCGCCCGAATCCTGAAGATGACTCATCCTACTGTCCAACTACCTACCCGTGAAGTGCATGGGAACTTCCTATGTACTACCGGGTGCCTCCTGACCGCAGGTGAGGCAGTCCAGGAGGCCGCTCTTGCAAATGCCGAAGAGAGGCAGGGGCTGCAGCTGCAGCTCCTGCTCGAGCTGTCGTGGGGAACAGGCTAAAGATAGCCTGTTCCGAAAACCCTGTTTTTGTGCCTGAGTCCTAGGGTCGGTCGAAACAACGAGGGCCTGAAAATGGCCCTCCGTTTCAGGCTGAAAAGCCTCTGGGCCTGAAAGGCCCAGAAATAGGCTGAAAACGGAATAGGGCCTGCAGGCCCTCGTTTTTCAGTTTCAGGCTGAAACGACCGGGGCCTGTAAGCCCTATTTCTAGGCTTTTAGGCTGAAAGTGCGGGATGGGCCCTGCAGGGCCCATGTGGCTACGCAGTATGCCACAGCCAGACTGGGTTCGTTGCATGCCCCTTTCCTTTGATGGACGCAAAAACTTGCTTGCTGGTGATGAGCAACCGGACTGATGCCCCCCAGAATAGAAGGGGTCCTCGTAAAAAAAAAAAGAAAAAAAAAGGGGGCAGTTGTTGGGACTTGCGAGTGGAACCAAATCTCTTACTCCATTTCAGGCGGGTGGGGATGTTAATTGACAGAAGGATGGCCGGCATAGTCCATGAGAACTCCGGATGGTTTGGAAGACAAGAAAGGGCACTGATCTGTAAGAGTCCAAGATTGGGACTCGCAACTGGGACCGGGACATCTGGAATGCGTGAAATCCTTTAAAAAAAGACAGGAAGGATAATGACTATTAATGAGTGACCATTGCACAAGCTCCTCTTTGTGTGAGCTTTTGTAGCACCAAAACTCCCTATGCTATTCTCTCAATGTGGTGTGGAGATAGAAAGCAAAGATATAAATTCATACACAGCAGTACCTACCTCTACGTCGATGAAGCCATGGAAATCAACCCTCTTCTGGAGCTCCTCATAAGTGCCAATGTCTTTCATTTCTCCATCTTGCATCAGGATCACACGGTCACACCTGGATCACAATGACATCACCTATGTCATTATCTTGAGTGTCAGATTAAGCAAATCATTCTTATCAAGCCTGCACCACATGCACCCCCACTTCCCCCCACCCCCTGTTTCTTCCTAGGAAGCATTGCCTTGATTGCTGATATGAGGTTGTTGTTTCTCTTGCTTATCCTCGTCTCTCTTTTAGTGTTTTTCTTTTTCTTTTTGTTCACTTCTCTCTGTTTCCCTTATATAATCATTCCTCACCTTCATTTCTGCTTTGACTCTTAAACCCCTTCAACAGCCCCCTGTTCCCCCCCCCCCCCCCTCAAAAAAAAAGAACAGAAAAAGGAACGTACTCTGCCAGTCCAACAACAAATGGAACAGCAGATCTGAAGTTCTGAACCATTCCAGCAGGGGCGTTCTTACTCACGTTTTGACCTTGATGGTTACGAGGCCCTAGTCGGGTAAGTGAGCACATAAGTCACCATGCAAAGGTATGTTCACGCAGGTGACTCAACTCTATGCACATAACTGGTGGCATCTAGGCTACCAGCCCGGCCGTGCAACGACCAAAAGTTTCAGGGGGAAAAAGAAAAAAGAAAAAAAGATCAAGTGTAGTATCTGTACTGATCAGTTTAATATCTGATCTGTGGTCCATCAGGGAAAAAGAATTAAAATCTGAAACAAAAACTACAAGGAAAATGAGAGATAGCGAGATGACAGAATTCAGATACCACAATCACATTGAAAGCAAGAAAGTCCCGCAGTGTCCAGATAAGCAGCATTGCACCAATATTACACCAATGGAGAATCAAAACACTGAAACCGAATGTCAATGAGAGCTTACTCCCATCCTCACCAACATACGTATCCAGGCCCTCTAACCCTACTTGGCGCTCGGCACCCAGGCTACTCCCTACACAGCTACGTCCTGCCTACGAATTGACAATGCAACTGTTCATGTCAGCAGCCACCGAAGTACTTGAAGATGTTGACCCCTACGAATTGACAATGCAACTGTTGACGCCAGCAGCCACCGAAGTACTTGAAGATGTCGACCAATGCAGACCATCGTCAATACCAGGTATGCGCCCTCACATCATCATCCTCATCTCTTTCACTCTCTCCCTATCCTTGTCTTCCTCCCACGTCTTCTCCCTCATGCATGAAGACCACCACCACCTCCACTGGCTGTCCAAGCCAAGCCCTGGCTATGTAGGGCTGGCTATGGCACTGCCCTCAGCAGCGCCCTGCCTTCTTCCAGCGCCCGTGCGCACTGCCCGGCAACTAGTGCTAGCGCACAGCGCGTAGCCCGCAAGCGCACGCTCAAGCAGCACTGCCGCATGCACTGCCTAGTTCCCGAATGAGCCCACCAGTGGCGATCTCTTTCCTTTATGGAAAGTGCTCGCCCATTTTCCTGTCTGGCTGGGCCTCATGTGTTTCCAGTAGCTTCTGTTCCCAGGCCCATTCAGACAGTGGCCTGGGACCGAGTTGGTTAGGCCTGCCCAACCACCCAGGAGTAAACGTGAGGTTCTCCCTGCTTCGCCTGTGCTGCTGGAAGAGCCTGGAAGGCTCACAAATTATTTCTGATTCTCACGAGTATGGAGGGTGTAACCAACGGCTCATGGCAACTGTTGCATACTCGTGAAACACAATCGTAAGTATGGCGCAGATTCCCAGAACCGACCAGATAATACAGAGTACATACAAATACAGCGGAAGACTTGAGATACATGGATTGACTCAGACCTGACTCAGACTGCAATGAAACACTCACAAACATACATCGGTGGTGTGAAGCCCTGGCCTTGGACTTAGAACGGAAGGCCAGGGTCGACTCTCATACACGGATGAATGGAGGGGAGGAGAGACGAAGGGAGGAGGAGAGGGAAGATGACGTCAACTCATTGTTTCCAAAGATAGTATCTCGAAATGTCAGAAATAGCGAAAATCCGAAATGTCGCGAACACAGAGTCTCACAGTGTCTCAGATATCGACCTCACAATGTCAAGATACATCCTCAGAGGTAGATGAAGTCAGATCCCATAAGTAGTCCTCAACCTGCAGTCTCAATGTCGCTATCTCTAGTATCATCAGAGCTCGTAACCATCCTTCATAGTCGTAGCAGTCCAGTAGTGTAATCCAAGAAGTAGTCTTAGAGAGAGAGAGAGAGGGAGAGAGAGAGAGCGGAGGAGGAAGAAGAGGGAGGAAAGGCGAAGCCTTTCTCCCTGGTACCTGGCAATGCAGCTATGGCGCTGCAGGGCTGGGCGCTGGGCCGCGGGCTGGGCCAGAGGCTGGCGCTATTCCACTACTGCGCTAAGGTGCTGTTGCACTGTTCCTCCTTGCTGCTGTGCTAATCCCTTCTCGCTGCTCATCTTCCTGCTGAAACGCTGCACTAATCCTGAAGACTAACTCATAGACTAACCTAACTACTGAGGCTGGTACCCGGCTAATATAGTGCGGGGCCAGCCTCAAGGCTGCTGGCACCTTGGGTCTGGACCGTTGATCTGATCAACGTTTCAGATCCTGTTGCCGGAATCTGAAAGTGGCGGCCTAACTTGGCCGCTGTTCAAACTGTGCCGCCGGTAGGTCCTACCGCTGGACCGGTACCGGCCTGAACCAGTGTGACCGTTGGGCCTGTCTTAGACCCCTACACCTAGGCCTACCAGGTTCTAACTGAACCGGTGTACTCCTAGGTCTGCCTGGGCCTGGTCCGAACCGTCGTACCCCTAGGCGTACCCTGACCTAGATGGAACCGGGCCCGAACTGGGGCCCGTGTGGCTCAGAATGCCACAACAACTCTCTGGCGCCCACCAAACTTGGCCAAAATTGACGAACTCAGGCCATATTGAAATTCAGGGGCCCGCCTTCACTTAGGGCGGGCTCATGCTTGCTGAAAGGGCCCTGCACGGGCATGCTGAGGAGCTAACTCGTAACAAGGCCTTGTCGAAGATCCATGCCCACATGGGGGTTACAACAGGCTCTGCTTGGGCCCCTCAGCCTGGTTTCATAGCCCTATAAACAGGCATTGGCACATATTTGCAGGCCCGCCTTCACTTAGGGCGGGCACGGCACTTTCAGACACTGCCGAGGGACTAAATCCTCGCAAAACAGTGTGATGCAGAGAAAAAACCTAGGCTGGGCCGCCGCCCGGTCGGTTGGGCCCAGGGGGGTCTGCCCGGCGAAACCGGGCGACGCAAAAACACAGCAAGGAATTTTTTTCTTTTTTTTTTTGAAGGCGGGGTTGTGCTGCGCTACCCTAGAGGACCACGAATCTGCAATAAAAAAGTTAAGTTGGGGG